CACAAGAAAAGAAACAAAGTGATTTAGTTCTGAATAATATACAAGACATAGTACAAGTTAAAAGAACAAAAGACACAAGTTCACTACAATAATGTTTTAAGCGCATACATAAAAATAACAAGACTGGCAAAAATAAGCCAAATAAACTGTTAAAAAGGTCAAATGTTTGCAGTGCCAAAGGGGCTGTTTAAAGAATCATTTAAAAACTCAAAATTGAACTTGGGCTTTTTGTAAGTCTACCCACACTATAAAGGTAGGGTTATTGTAACCTTAATGTTCTGAAAAAGTAAATGAGGCAAGACATATAGAGAAAAATGATAACCTATAATGATCTTTTCCAACTAAATCTTTCAGTTTAATAAAACATAATTACTTTCTTAACAAGCCTTGCATAACCTACATTCTTACTCAATTGCTTGCTTGTAATAAAATCTGTAAAGGAGCTTAAAAATTCAATTGCTGAACAAGTAATTGTAGTAAATAATCAAAGGCTTTAACAGGCTTCAGTATCAGAGAAAAAGAAGTACCAAATGGAAGGTTTTGAGGTGTACTCAGAGAAGAATCCAGGAAACTACTGACCAGTCAGGCTGGCTGTTGCACAGGATAGGTGATACAAACTGTAATGAAAAACAGAAATAGTAAAGAGAAATGTTCTGGGGAAGAGTTAACATAGTTTTTTTAGAGAACAGTCATGCCTCATAAAAGCAAACAGAGGGTTATCCAATTGGTATATTATCTCTAGATGTCTGAAAAGCTTGATGCAGTCCCTCAAAAATGTGGTTCCAAGAAACTATGAGATAAAAGGAAGGTTCTCCTGTAGATTAAAGTCAGTTAAAGACAGAAACAAATGAGAGACATTAATGGTTAGTTTTCATACTGGAGGAAAGCTTTAAGTGAGTTCTCCCAGGAATTTATAATCTTCAACATAATTGTAAATGGTCTGGAAGACTGAGTGATGAGAGATCTCTCATCTGAGAGATCTGGGTGACTGAAAAAGACAAAATTTTATCTAGGGTACTCCAATCTAATGATAATGGAGAAAATGCTAAGTTATCAGGTACAAATGGAGTGTGAAAGAAGAATCATAGAACCATAGATTCATAGAATGGTTTGGGTTGGAAGGGTCCGAACCCCCTGCCATGGGCAGGGACACCTTTCACTAGGTCAGGCTGCTCAAAGCCCTCTCCAACCTGACTTTGAACATTTCAAATGATGGCACATTCACAGCTTCTCTGGGCAGTTTCTGTGGCTCACCAGCCTCATTGTAAAAAATTTCCTTATATCCTGTCTAGAAACACAACAACAGACTAGTTCAGCATGGATCTTAATTAGAATTATTGAAGTCACAATATACTTACTATCCTAATCTCATGCAAATTCAGGTAATAGATTTCTGGTTGAGGACGATTATGATAAGGAAATAATAAACTGATTACTTCAGAGCAGCAAAGAGAAAAATGCCTGCTGTCAAAACACAGGCAGAATCTTTGATGTTTGAGCATACAGTAAGGAAAGGGTTGTAATGATTTCATAACTGTATATTCAATGTGAATAGAGAGTTGTAAAATGTGATTTACAATATTAATTGAGATGCCTACCTCTCCTTTTTTGACTAGGGGTGGTGCAGCCCCCTCCCCAGGCTACTCTGAGATTTCAGGATAATCCTTGCATGCTCCCATTGTGCTGTCATTTTGGGCTGAGGCCTCAGGCACTCTCTGGCCACACCTGGGCCATCACTCAGATCTCAGGATAAGCCGCACTGTGCTCTTGTCTTGGCTACAAGTGCAGCAGAGCTGGGGCTGAGGTGTCAGGCACTCCCGGGCTACGCTTGGGCCATTTTCAGCCTGAATGCTATGCCAGAGTGGCTCAGCACCAATTGTGGCCAGAATGGAAACCAATGACCAAAAGTCAATCATCCTATGAATAGTGATCCAAAGTGAGACCCTTTGAGCTCTCTGGGACTGCAGTGGGCTGTGTGACCCAATATGTCCCCTTGAATTGGGATGCCTAGCAGTGTAAATTTTGCAAGGATTGACAGATCGACTGTTGATGATGATTTCACAAGGTTTCCTGACTGTCCATTGATGAACGCTGGCATATAAAGTGAGTAATTCATGAAACTCATGAAAAGGGAAATTTTGATCACAGCTTAACCTCTGTGTGTGTCTGTGCGCACTTTGACTCAGAACTGTTTGTCTGTGTGTCCGTGTGTGATATGATTTAACCTCTGTCTGTGTGTGCAACCCTGCTGTAAGTTTCCAGTGACCTTGCCATGCTCGAAACTTTAACAAAGTCACTATCTTGATTGTAACAAATTTCATTGAATCTCTCTGTTAAATTGACTGATGATTAAATGCGGTTAAGGATGACACACCCTAATCTTGTGCAAAATATTAATAAATCCTAAATTTCTAGTAAACCAAAACCATATAGAAAAAACCATATTCGCAACAGTGATATAAAGGATTGATTGTACACATGCAATGCTTTAGATATAAACCATTGACCAAGTCTGGGACTAAGTCTGGATCCAGCCTCACCCAGATGTCTCTCTGAGAAGGAGTTTAGAAAGCAAGGGAGTCCTTTCTGAACCTCTTGACTCAATGGGAGGGCCTCCCTGACAGTTTGTCTGGCCCTGTCCTCTACACAGCAAATAGTCTTGTGAAATCACTGTCACGTTTACTATCAAACTTCTTTAATCGCTGTTTTAAACATATTGCTGCTCCTCTCTTGTGAGTGAAGTGCATCACTCAATCTGCCACAACTACATAGGAAACACTGGGGAATCGTCACTCAAATATACAGGCTGAGGGGCTGGAACTACTTAGTGGGAAGCCCTATGGAGAGGAGCATGTCATAACCGGCTCCTGAATCATCAGACTGATGATTCCTCTTCTGCATATCAGTACCTAGCACTGGGTAAGGTAGCAGCAACCTCCTTTTGCACAGTAACTTTGAGGCTCAAGCTAATGATCAGGAAGTTGAAGACCTGGGACTCACAACACCTCCTAAGTCTTGAATCACCAGGCTACAGGATTGTAAAATGGTGTTTACCACCCCTGCTGCAGCTGGACCTCATGCAGAAGAGAATGGAAGATTGATAGGATCAGCAACAGACAAAGTTTATGGAAGTTTTGATTCTGTAATCCAGTAAGAAGCGGATTCCTCTGGCAGAGCAGAGCCATAGGTTGTGACCCCTGCTTCCAATGTTCATTATATATTTTATTTAATGATGCTGATGTTCTTGTATCTATAAATCCTGTCTCCAAAAGCAGCCTCTGCAAATGCCCAGTGAAGTGCAGAAGGACAGGAATAACAAATAACTCTTAAACTACTGATCACAATACAAATGGGCTTCATCCAAAAGCTACTGAGCTGAATGAAAGTTCTTCCACTCACTATTCTTCTTGGTTATTAAAACCACAGCAATTCAAGGCCCAGCAAGGTGATGCATATCTAAGATGTGAACCCAGCTACCAAATTTGCATATGAATTTGAACATCTCCTTTTAGTGTATGCCTAGATAGAGCACAATCATACAGCCTGGAATAAATTGTTTGTGCTACTCATAAAAGGCCAAAGAAGAGACTAATAAAAAAATCAATTGATTAGGAAAGGACTAAATTGAAAATCCCTTAAACTGTTCTTCAGTATTCTCTATCAAAGGCTGCAACTGCCTGACTTTTGCTGTCAAGAACACCAAACTGAATTTGCATACCTTTCACAGAAATGGTATTGTCATGGTTTAACCCCAGGCGGCAACTAAACCCCACACAACCGCTCACCCACTCCCTGTGGGTGGGATGGGGGAGAGAATCGGAAGGGTAAAAGTGAGAAAACCCATGGGTTGAGATAAAGACAGTTTAATAGGTAAAACAAAAGCCACGCACACAAGCAAAGCAAAACGAGGAATTCATTCACCACTTCCCATGGGCAGGCAGGTGTTCAGCCATCTCCAGGAAAGCAGGACTCCATCACACGTAACAGTGACTCGGGAAGGAAAAACGCCATCACTCCGAACATCTCCCCCTTCCTCCTTCTTCCCTCAGTTTTATATGCTGGGCATGACATCGTATGGTATGGGATATCCCTTGGGTCAGTTGGGGTCAGCTGTCCCAGCTCTGTCCCCTCCCAACTCCTTGTGCACCCCCAGCCCACTCACTCGTGGGGTGGGGTGAGGAGCAGAAAAGGCCTTGACTCCGTGTAAGAACTGCTTAGTAATAACAAAAACATCTCTGTATGATCAACACTGTTTTTAGCACAAATCCAAAACATAGCCCCATACCAGCTACTATGAAGAAAATTAACTTTACCCCAGCCAAAACCAGCACAGGTATTTACAATGACTTAAATTCTGAAAAAAACCCAATGCATTTCACTGCAATTTCTGAATCAGCCCTGTCCCATTAACCCAGCAGAAGGAATCAGCCGGCACAAACACATTTATTTACCCTTCTATTACTGTCTGGGTTTTTTTCACCTTAGACAATACCTATTTCATGCCAGTAGTGGAAAGGCAGACATATGAAAGCTCCTTGGTGACTCTTAGATCTATTTTACACATACACAAAAGTTCAACAAAATTGCACTTAAGAACGTAATTTTTCTTTCCAAGGTTTCCAAGCCTGTCTTCTTCTGATAGCATTTCATGCTGTTGAGTCTGCATTTCTTGTCACGCATTTTGCCTCAGGCAATCTGGTATTATTGCAAAAGGACTGTGATCTGTCACAGGATCATGAGGAGGCTAAACTGTTCATTGCGGATAAGCTAAAAAGTTTGAAAAACACCAAAGGGCAATATTTGGATTGTCATTCATGCCAAATCTGTGAAGGTCGTTGAGAAGGACATTGAGCTACTTCAAATCTTTCAACACGTTGGAATGGAAGCTGGAAAAGGGAACTGGTGTTTATTTGTTCCTAGATTTGAAGGTACCTTTTCATCAGATAGTGACAACCTCTTTCGGTTACCTGTAGCTTTGGTATACATTAATATTTGCCCATTTAACAGGTTTCTGTGATCCTCAAAGATTGCTGCCAGGAAAAGTAGTCATCTGATTTCAGGTTTTTGAAAAGCTGAATAGCTTGCATTTTTGCTACTTCGTTTTCCTTGCCAGTGATGGATTCATCATCAGACACAAGCTTCCCAGGTGTTGTCTTGCCTTCAGAAGGTTTCTTGACTTGGTTGTCTTCCTGACTAATATCCATCTTCACACTGGATTTTAGGCTGTGAAAGCAATAGTCACCAACCTGGCAAAGGAAAACTGGCTCAGTGCTGTCAGGGTTTAACACCACCAAATTACCCTCTGACAAAGGTTGCTTTCTAGGAAGATCGTTTCCCTTCTGTAAGACAGGCAAAGAAACCTTTGTGGGTTCTGAATGTCCATGGAGACCTAAAGGGACAGTAAGATAGTCTCCAAATGTATCCAGGTGCAATTCAGGAGAAGAGGTTGGTGCTTGACCTGAAACTGGGACCATGACACCAGTTTTCCCAGGAGAAAACTCATGGCAAGAGCGGTCACCCTGGGGCTGGGGCTCCTGAGAGTCACAAGGTGACTCCCCAGCAGTGACAAGCGGTGGACGGGTGAGCTCGCTGGCTGATGGCAGGAACGGGCTCTCTGTGGTGATGTACTCCAAGGGGCACTGCTGGGGAGATGTGACACAGCCAAGAGCCTTTGGAGATTTCTGCTCTTCTGTCCCCACGTTCGTGCCTTTCCCACAGGCTGGTGGGGCCGGTGAGACTTCTTTCTCCTCGTCGAGCTGCTGCGTCATTTCCTTCTGATCTGGGAGCAGGGAGGGCTGTGGAGGACCTGCTTCTGGCTGTTCTTGCCTCTGTGGAGCCTGGGGACAGTCTTCCTTTGGGAGGGTCACATACTGAAGGGAACCTGATTTCTCACAGGCTCCCACTGGGTCCACTTCCAGGGTCTGATGCATATCAGGTTGGGAGGACGTCACTGGGCTGTACAAGTATGGACCATTGAAAGCAAAGCAAGGGATTGCTCTCTGGGAAGCAATACTTGCATCAGCACTGTTTCTCCTTGAAACAGGAAAGGAATGACCAGCAATCTGACTTGAGCAGACAACTAGGGCATGCTCTGGCTCATTTAAAGCATGGTATGAGTTCTGTAGGTCCAGTGCAACAGGGGAAACATCTGTCTTTTTAGCCTGCCCTTCAGGGGACTCTGTCGAAGTCTTCGTCTGTCTGAATGTGGGAAAGTTAAAAGTTGCTCATGAGAGATATTATTGTGGTAAACATTAAATATAAAACAAGCTTAGTTGAAAACACACATAGCTACACATAAGGTTTAAAAAAATCTTTCTTGAAGAAGTAGGCTAACCCAGATAGCAAAAAACTGTATCCTTTCCTCCAAAGCAACGTGTATAGGCTTTTTAGTGGCAGAACATTTGATTATATCCTGTCATTACTCAGGGAGTTCTTTGAGACTATTGTCCACAGTGTCACTATAATGTGCTGTTCACTCACCTGTCCACAACTTGAAGGAAGCTAGCCTGCTCCATCTTCTCTGAAAGGTTGTATTTGTTGAAGTCCAGCTGGCTGCTTGTTGGCCAGTTTCCTAAATGTGCTTTCTGAAAATGAAAAAGCAGACACGACAAAAGAGCAGTGTCTCTCTGGAAGCAGTATCAAGAACCATACATGCCTCATGGATAAAGAAAACAAATAGGAGAGCCTACAGCATCTGGCAATAGGAATACAACTTCACTAATATGACTAGAAGGTGTGTTTTGTTCTCCAGAAGATGGTTACTTCAAACCCATTTTGCCTTACCACTGACCTAACTACAAGTACTCAATGAGCCAACTAGGAAAGATGCCCTGCTAGGCTTGTATTGGTGAACAGAGAAGGACTCATGGGAGATGCGATGGTAGATAGCTGTCTTAGCCACAGTTATCACAAAATGATTGAGTTTAAAATTTTCGGAGTAATGAGAAAAAAGAACAGCAGAGTTGCTACCCTGGATTTCAAGAGAGCAAACTTTAAGCTATTCAGGAAGTTACTCAGCAGTGTCCTGCTTTTGTGGGCAGTGGGAATCTGCTTTTGAGGGCTTAGGAGTCCATAAGTGCTAGTCAGTTTTTAAGAACCATCTTTCAAAAGCACAGGAGCAGGCAATTCCAGTTTGCCGTAAGTCAAGCAAGTGGGGCAGACAACCGGCTTGGCTGAACAGGGAACAACTTCTGGAGCTCAAAAGCAAAAAGAAATTGTATGAGCTCTGGAAGCAAGGTCAGGCTTTGCAGAAAGATTACAGAGCTGTGGTTCGTATATGCAGGGAGGAGACATGAAAGGCCAAAGCTCAATTAGAGTTGAAGTTCAGCCAGGGGATGTTTAGACTGGACATTAGGAAGGATTTCTTTACTGAGAGGGTGGTGAAATGCTGGAATAGGCTTCCTAGAGAGGTGGTCGTTTTTCCATCCCTGTCAGTGTTTAAGAGGCATTTGGACAATGCCTTTAATAATATGCTTAAACTTTTGGTCAGCGCTGACGTGGTCACACAGTTGGACTAAATGATCATTGTAGGCCCCTTCCAACTAAACTATTCTGTTCTGTTCTGTGCCATTCTATTCTATTCTGTTCCGCTCTAACTTTACATAGCGTAGGGGACAGGAGCTGCTCCCTTAATTGCTCATAGAGATGCTGCAGGTTCCTACCACAATAAACATCAGACACTGCTTTGTGCAGTGTCTACTCTTTTCCAGCACCACACGGGGACACTCTGGGCAATATTTCATCTATAGGGGTATAATGACTGTCCTTCTGTACCAGCTGACCAGAGAAACAGAATTACTGGGATGTTTACAAAACTTAGGATAACGTAATTCCGTGCAGGGATGGAATCTTTCAAAACCATGAAACTAAGGCAGTGAGTGCTTGGGTATGGAGAAATAGGTAGGGGATAAGAAACAAAGCTGCTAAGGAGCTTCTTAGAGTGGGAAGAAGTTTCCAGTTTTTACTGTAGACATGAGGCAAAAGAAACTAACTTGAGACTTTAGTATAAGTAACCAGTTTGTCTTCTGGCGCAAGAGAATCCATGCCTAGTCTTTGCCATCTATTTGCAAATCATGTTTTAAACCAAGTCATTACAATGAAAGTCCCTTTTACAGCAATGTAACAAATGTGCAATGCTTAACAAACATGTTAACTCCTTCCCTCACACACAAATGTAGATACTGTAAGATACATGTAGATACATGTAGATACATTTGCCTCACACAAAGGCCGTGTTGTAAATTATAATCATTGGATTGCCATGTGCCCACACTTACTGTAACCCATCCCTTATGAACACAAAATAGAATCAACTATTATACAAAAATATGTCTCTGTGTGTTTGTGTGTGTGCGCGCACGTCTATGTGTGTGTTGGGGTGGGCACATTACTGAATTCGTTATTCTTGCAAGACTGGAAAACTTTTACCACCAAATGCTAGAGATGCCTATACCACCCTTTCCAGACATTGGGTTTTTTTGAAAGGGAGGAAGAAGGGAGGGAGGTTGTACTTAAACAGCTTTGACCAAATGCAGTCTAAGTGTGTTCCCCAATTCCCAATAAAGAATGCTTGTTCTGATAACATGGTGGTAACATTTATTCCAGAAAATCCAGCTCCTTAAAATAAAAGTTTCTTTAATAGGGCTACCAGCCCATTCTAAAAAGCTCTGAATTAGTGTTAATTACTATTTGGAGATGAATGAAAGCACCCACTGATTAAGTTTGCTAATGACAGTAGATTATGACCTGTTGGAGCAGGTCCAGAGGAGGGCTACGAAGATGATCAGAGGGCTGGAGCACCTCTCCTATGGAGACAGGCTGGGAGAGTTGGGGTTGTTCAGCCTGGAGAAGAGAAGGCTCCAGGGAGACTTTGTAGCAGCCTTCCAGTACCTAAAAGGGGCCTTCAAGAAAGCTGGGGAGGGACTTTTTACAAGGGTGTGTACTGATAGGACAAGGGGCAATGGCTTTAAACTGGAAGAGGGAAGATTTACTCTGGGTATTAGGAAGGAATTCTTCACTGTGAGGGTGGTGAGGCACTGACACAGGTTGCCCAGAGAAGCTGTGGCTGCCCCATGCCTGGAAGTGTTCAAGGCCAGGCTGGATGGGGCTTTGAGCAACCTGGTCTAGTGGAAGGTGTCCCTACCTATGGCAGGGGGGTTGGAACGAGATGAGCTTTAAGGTCCCTTCCAGTTGAACCATTCTATGATTCCATGATTATTCCAGTCCGTTAAAATGTTAAAGTACTGAAAATTTTCTACCTTGATTTTAAATCACAGTGATGCTGACAAGCACAACACAAAGAAGTCTACTAGTATAAGAACACAGTTACATTGAATATGACCAGAACTTCTATTAAAAATAAGGCATAGACTAGTGAAGATAACTGTTCATTGTGGACTGGGAGATAAGAAGAGCTCTTAAGATTATTGAAAGTCCTGAAAAAAAGAGAGAAATAATGAACCCTTCAAGGTACAGTTCCCTCTTACCCCCAGGTAGCTCTGGATCAGGAGACTCTTGCTGGGGTTCGGGATCTTTTCCTCCCACATTTTCTTCTTCCTGCAACAACAACATAGAGTTTTCAAGATTTCAACAAGATTTCAAGATATCAACATTGCTCTGGTGCAATCAGAAAAGGATGCACCCTGTGCACTGTGCTGCTCTGCACAGCAAGGCACCACCAAGGCCCTGGCACACCACCACCCAACTCCCACCCTTGCACAGACAGGCACAAGGCTGCCCATTGCACACCAAGCTCATCTCCACTAGACCTCTCTCTCATGGCGGACAAGAAGTGCCTCAGCTTTTATGCCACCCACAAGGCCAACATGCTGCTAAATATCCTAGTCACAACACAAGCCTACCTGAGGAGATACTTATAGCTGCAATAAGCAACTATTAGCAAAGTGATGATGAGAGCTGGGAGCATCACTGGGAGAATCACTGGTGACAGAACTGAAACAGAGAAAGGAGAAATAAGTATCCACCTGTAGAGGGGATGCTTCCCGTAACAGGTTTTTCACTCTGGTCACTCTTCATGTAAGCAGATGAGGGAAATGTAGGTAGCATGTCAAGGGATAGGATCATTAGGCCTTCAAACTGTTGTGATACCCTCCAAAGTGGGACAGACCAAACATGGCCTGAACAGCTTACTGACCAAAGGAGTTCATTGTTTCGTTTACTGATTCTTTTTTTTACTGACATGAGAGTAAATAATTTATGTTAATAAAAAGATGGTTAGGTACCTTATTCCACCATGAAAAACAGGCATGTCTTCAGACATCTTAGGTCTGCCTTACTCTGTACAGTCCTGAAGAGATGGGACCTCAGAGATTTTCTAAGAGCTTCCTCTGTTAATGGCCATAACTGATCATCAACAACATACCAATTTCTTCCTGAGTACACTCATTAAAATTTGCCTACTGCCTTACCACTACAAGCTTCCTCAGGACAAAACATGCAAGATCATATTATTTTGGGCACAAGACCATATGATAGCAGACATTGTGCCTCTAAGTCCAGAAACAGTAAAAACAGATAAAGGTTTTATCTCCAGTAGACTCTACTGTGCGTTTTAAGCAATGCTATAGTCACTCTGTAAATATAAAAGACTGATGGCTTATATTCTGTCTTCTTGCAGTCTCGAGCTTTTCAGTCACTGATAGCAGAATGGACGACTGGAATCAGGAAACAAGAATGAACTTTTGGGCAGGATCTTTGCTTGATTCTCCGTGTGGAAAACTTTTGGGTTGGTTATATTCACCTTGTGAAGGGACATAGGAAAGAAGCTTAAAAGGTCATTCCTGCACACCTCCCTCATTAGCATTGCTGCTGTACTGCAAGGATGCA